ATTAGCTCTGATTTACATCTGTTTATTAATAAAATAAATTGAAATCAAAGAAAGTTTTCACGGCAAAAATGTCTTCCGCTGCAGTGACAACAAGAAAAAAGTCTACTTGTCCTATCTTTGGTTCACCAGCAGACTTACGAGCAAACGTCTTGCCAACATACAAACATGTCATGCTAAGTTATCTTTTGTCAATGCAGAAAATGAGAGTGGAAACTGGTGGAAAACAACCTTCTTTGAAAAAAATATCTGAAAATTTGGCGCACAAAATAGAAAATTTGTGGGGAAAAGCATCGATACCTACTGTGTCTCATAAACGCATTGTAAAAATGTTTCTTGATTACAATCAAAAGTATAGAAATATTATGAAGTCTGTTAACAAAACGAAACATACAGACAAATTAAAGTCGAAAATAATAACATTTCAAAAGCATGCAGAAAATACTTTATTTGACGTTGCTGCATGCAAATGCCTTGATTTTTCTAAATGCATCTATGAAAAAGCAAAGAAGTTACCAGAGAAAGAACATGAGTTTCTTAGCGAACAGAGACTTATGAGGATTATGTATATGGAAGGACTCGATATTCAAGCTACTTTAAGATTACGGTGAAAAGAAGCAAGAAAAAACAGAGTAAATAGCCCCTTGCCGTCTAACCCATCAAAACAGCCTTGTGTTATTACAGGTATTGAATCAACATTATCAAGCCGCATTCATAATTCAAGTTTCTACTCTGTATTTCAAGATTCTGACTCTGATGATACTGTGATTTAGAATACTGACTCAGAATCAGATGCTGATTATTTAGACAGCTAAAGACCACAAACAAAAAAGAAACAGAAAAGATAAAACTGAACAAATAAGATCACCGTTACTATCCTTACCACAAGCCTGCGATATAGTTGGTGTTTCAAGCAGAGGTGCTGCATTTATAGCATTTATATGTGCTGTGCTGGAAGACATAAACATAATTTCAAAAGGAGACCAATCTAAAGTAATTAATAAAAATAAGACTCAAAGAGAACGAAAGAAAAACAGACTTAAAATGCAACATTTAGATCATGAAAATATTCAAATTTTAGAAGGTTTATATTTTGATAGAAGAAAAGATACAACATTTGTTATTGATACAAACAAGGGAAAAAATATACGAAAAACTATCAAAGAAGAACATGTAGTTTTAGTACAAGAACCAGGGTCAAAGTATTTAGGGCATGTAGAGACTGCATCAGGACATGGATACAGCATTAAGACAAGTATAAAAACATTTTTAACTCAGAAAAACATTGATACATCCACATTAGTTGCCATGGGTTGTGACGGAACAGTTGTCAATACCGGATTTCGTAATGGTGTTATTGCTTTGTTCGAATTAGAACTCAAAAGACCTGTCCACTGGTTTATTTGTCAAATACATGCTAATCAACTGCCTCTACGGCATCTAATTCAAAACCTAGATGGACCTACATCAGGACCTAACGGGTGGTCTGGACCGTTCGGAAAAGAAATTAAATTGTGTGATACCTTGCCAATTGTCAACTACATTCCTGTCAGTGTCACATTTCTAAAAATAGACAAAAAATCTCTTAGTTCTGATCAAAAATACTTACTTGATATTTCCAAAGCTATATCTACAGGTTATTGTCCAAACGCTTTGGCTAACCAAAATCCTAGAAAAACTTAACCATGCCAGGTGGGTGACCACTGCAAACAGAATATTGAGGTATTATGTTGGATGTAGCGAACCGTCACACAAGCTGAGAGAAATAGTTGAGTTTGTTATTAGAGTTTACTGCCAAATGTGATTCAATATAAGATATGATCCCTCATGCACGGAAGGTGCTAGATATTTATGGCTAACCATCAATTTATCCAGGTATGCCAGTAGTGAAATAAAAAGTATCATCGATCGAGTTATACAAAGGAATGCTTTTTTTGCACATCCAGAAAATATGCTTCTGGCAATGATATCGGATACTCGTCCAAATGTGAGAAAATTTGCATTAAAACAAATAATGAAAGCAAGATCAATAAAAACAAAGTTCGAAAGTTCTCTATACCAGAAATCAATTTGAAGCAGCAGACTATATAGACCTTATTTATTGGATTGAATGTGAACTAAGTGAACCTCCGATTACCACTCACATTTCACATGAAAATCTAATTGAAATGTTAACAAATGGTAATCTTCCAGATGTGCAGCATTTTCCATGCCATATTCAAGGAGTAGAGAGATGCATCAAACTTGTAACCGAAGCTTCAGATCAAGTTTGCGGTTTGGTTAGTAGAGATGGCTTTATTCGTGCAAGACTTGCATCGCGAAAAAAAATGCCTATATTCAACACAAAAAGACAGTTTGAGAGAGAGACAAATGAATCAGATAGTTAAACTTTATTACAGCTTAACTTTAAACATTTTTCAAAAACATTTTCCACTCTATTAAAACTTTAATTGTACATTATGGACTGCTAAGCTTGTTTTCCAGAAACTAATGAAACAGTTTTTTTTCGTCAAAACTCAGCACACTAGCGTCAACTGAAGACATTAAAATAATTTCTTAAAAAATGTAACCATTTCTAGCTTAGTCATTGTTTAACGTTTAAACTCTATTACAACTCTTGTATATGCATAGAATTTTTTATTTTTATTTTGTAAAAAGGATCAGAAAACGTGTTTTTATACGAAAAATAAAACCATAACGCGAACTGAAGACATAAAAAAAAAAATACAAAATAATTTGGCACAATTACTTTTTATATCATTATGCAACTTTTCCGCTCTATTACAATTTCAAATTCAAAAAAAGTTGTTTTTCGATACACCCTACTTATCACTGAGCCCCGTGTACTTATTGTCTGTGTTTATTTAAAAGCAAATATATACTTAATCCGTTTTAAAATACAATTTAAAATATAAATTTTGCAAAATGCTAAAAATGTCTTTAAAAGAACGTGAAATAATAGTATATTTCTACTGATTTAAAATAAAAGTAATATAAACATACATATAAACATACATATATATTAATGCATACACATTTTCTATATTAATTTTAATAAGATATATTCATTTAGTGATAATAACAACGTTTTTTTTTTCTATTTTGAATTTAACTTAAAATAATAAATATTAGAAGTCTGTCGTAATATATTCTAATTATAATAAGAGTCTTTTCGATTCTGTTTTCAATTTCTCTAAGAAGTAGTACTCTTTATGATAATTAAAAATTTTAATAAAATCTTTTATTGAGGGTTGCATGTGCCCCTTTTGTCCATGTGACTAGGTAAAATGTAATGTAAAATGGTGCCTTCCCCCTCTAGGCGGTCTTCCCCCTCTGGGCGGCCGCCGAGAGTTTTTATGACGCCCGGGGCATAGCAACAGTTACGCACTCCTACAAGCATGCATATTTTTAAATTAAAAGCATGTGCAATTATATAAGTTAATGACTGTTTTTTTAAATTCTAACACTGGTAATTAACATCAATATTTTCAAGAACCGCTTTAGATTAATAACACTTGCAGCACATTCACTGATTAGGAATAATAAATAGATTCAATGAAATTAATATTGAAAACATACTTTTCTAGCTTTTTTACTTGCTGAACTTGAATTAGAATGCATATAGATTGGAAAAAAGGCTATAAATTTAAAAATATATACCCTTTAAAAATATTTGGTTAAAAATCTTATAAAATATTTTATTGTATACTTACTAACGCCATGTGGGCTTTAAATATTATTGTTAAAGGGGCTCTAAACAAAAAAAAAAGAAATTAGAAAAAAAAAAAAAAATTTTTTTTTCTCTTACTGTACTTTTTCTCTTTAACATTTTATTTCTTTTCAATTGGTTCAAGAACTCATTAGAATTTTTGTTTTACCGGGCAACCACTTTTCTAAAAAAATACCACTACTAAAGTCTATAAATATTGGTTTTATAAAATCTCAAACAACAGCAGGAATATTAATATTTGTTTTGTATGCTTATTTTTCCAGTTACTTTATAAGCTCGGAGTTTGTACCAATAATTATTGGAGCGCAAACAAAAATGATGACGTGTTTTATTGTCATAACTTTCAGAGCAGTGAAAAAGAACAGCTACTACGCTCTTTTTCATCACATACAAACTACCAATGTTGTGTGATTGCTTTGCTATAGTAATTTTATAATTTGTTAATAACATTTTCTGTCAAACGACCTACTCCTCGTATTTTTTACCGCCACTTAAAATTTCTTTGTTATTTTAAGTTTTCACCGCGTGCAAACTCGTTTTTGAATGACTAATACACTCCTGCTTTTTTTCTACTTAAGATTTCTTAATTAAGAGATGCTATAGCACAATTAAGTTTGAATGCAGCTTAAAACAAGAAGCGAATTACGTCAATAGAAACATCACAATAAACAAGTCATTCCAGAGTACAAAGTTGCACTTAAGATGACTAGGGAAGTTTTTTTATGGTTTAAATTAAATTAACTTTATGAAATCTGCAATGATTTTATTGATTAAAAAAAAAATTTAGGGAAAAAAAAATATATATTTTTATTGGTGTACAACCTTAATTGTATCTTAGTTAGTACACTTGTTCCAAATTTTATGTTTAGCTGACCTTTGTCTCGGTTTTTACGAGACAAAGGTCAACTAAACATGAAATTTGGAACATTTGGGAGCACAATGCTAAACTAGTTAAAATTAGTTACGATTGACCTTAGTGACCTGGGCATTCAAGGAAACTACTTGAAAATTGTAGGTCTTTATTTAATAGGATAATCGAGGCAAAGATAATTTTGGTGGCGTTTTAAAAAAACTTTTAGGTATATGATGTAACTACTTTAGAATATTTCGTGGATGAATATCTTAATTAAAAGAAAGAAGTTTAATAAGATATGTAACGCGTTAATAATTGATGATTAGTACACGCGCAGAATTATTAATAAACTTGATACAAGTTTATTAATAATTTTCTTGTATCAAGAAAAAATGATTGGGTTTTAATATAAATATCATAGAGAGAAAAAATGATTGGGTTTTAATATAAATATCATAGTCAATATATACAAAAGTAAAAATCTCTTATATCTATAAACTTCGTAGATACGTCACATAAAAATATAAATAAATAGAAGTTTGGCTTTAAACATGGTTTACAAAACAAAGAATAATATTAACAAAGATAAAATATACTTTGATATAAACTTTTATAATGTATACATAAATACATAAAAGAATAATTTGCATGAACGCAGTTATATACTGTATACGCATACACACGCACAAATGTATCTCTATATACATATTTATATGTAATACACATTATTTGGAAAATTATTTCTTCGCAATTCTTATGAACAAGCACAATTTAGGTACTTTCTGGCTCACGGTGGATTTGTAAATATTCCGGTTCTATATTCTCCAACTGGTTTTCCTGAAAAATATTCAAATAATTGATCGTTTAAAGTAAGAACGATTTAAATTATCTTTATTTTATTGCTACAAAAGGCTATTTGACTTTGATCATAATAAAAATTGATTCGAAACTACGATTTAAAAAATAATTGTTTGATCAGACCAAAGTCTTTCAAAGGTTTACTAACCATAGTTCACTAAATAAATCTAAAAAGTTTTGTAAGTTTTTAAAATAGTTATTTAGTATTTTAAATATGTTTGCTACAAATGATTAATGCCATAATATAGGGTAGGGCGGGTAATATCCTGGTCACCCTAGTCAAATATTTATCCTCGTCATAGTTATTATATTTTATATCTGATTTTGATATCCCTTTTTACTTAATTTATTCTATAATATTTTAGTTAAAACATGCTGAAAAAAAAATCATCAAAATGTGACTATCGAATCAAGACAATTGATAAATACGATCATAGTAAATCAATGACTTCAATACACTGGTGCATCTCTTTAAAAAAAAGAGGAAATGCAGTTTTTGGAAAAATAAAGCCTGAAAATTTCACAAAAGCTAGAGCTACTGATTTATCTGAGTACACGGACAGGGTTTTTTTGAGTGATATGAGAAAACAATAAGTTAATTTGAATTTGTTTATTCATAATTCAAAATTTAACTAGCAAAACCATTACATATAAAAAAAAGTTTTGGCTGTAAACTCTGATGAAGTGGTGATGACGTAATTCGAGACAGTGTCTTAGTTTTGAAAGCGCGTCAAATCGACTTTTAAAAATGTTAGTTGAGTTTGCATTGATAACGTTTGCTGGTAGCCCATTCAAGTTGTTAACTCGATTAGTAAAATAATTGTCCCATTCATGGCCGAGCTTCACAACTTGCAGTGTTAGTCGTTGATTATGTCTAAGCAGATTATACTCTGATAGCAATTGCGCATATACTTGCGGAACTACTAAGTCGACTTTTTCTATTCCGTTCGCAATTTTATACTGGATCAGGTTACCCATTTCTCGTCGCTTTTCTAGAGTGGTAAGATTGAGTATGACCTATCTTTCCTCATATTTTTGATATTTTTCTCATATTTTGCTTTATCTCGCTTATCGTTTTGGTTGCTAGCTGTTGAATGCGTTCAAGTGCTTTGTCACTTTTTAGGTGAGAAAATTAGGCTTGGATAGCATACTTGAGATGAGGTCTAATGTATGTTGTGTAGAGTACCCTCCACAACATTACCTTCTAGCACGAAATCATTTTTTTAAATCTGCTAAGTACTTGATTTGATCTAGCTGCTGCAGCTTCTACTTGAAGCTTGACCTTTAGGTCGTTTGTTGTTAGGATATCTAAGTCACGTTCAATAATTGTTGTTACAAATTCTATTCGATTGTTATCTAAGTCATTGAGTAAAGGCGCACTAACTTATTTGAGTGACCAGCATGCATGACTTTACATTTTCGAGATTGAAAAACACGAGCCACTTCTTAAACCATTCGACTGCATGATTTATGTCTAGTTGTAGTTTTATTGCATCATCTTCTGTTTTGATGACCCCTAAGATCTTACAGTCATTAATGTAGATCTTTATATAATGCACCATGTTGTCTGGAAAGTCATTTAAATATATAAACAGAAGTGGACCTAATAATGAACCTAGTGGGAAACTCTGCTAGTAATATTTAACCATTCAGACTTGCTGTTGCTAATAACCACCCTGTGTTTTCAATTTTTTAACCAGACTGTTACCCACTCCAGGAGTGCCCCGTGTATGCCATATGCTTTAAGTTTTAGAAGATGCTGGTAAGGTACTTTATCGAAAGCTTTAGCAAAATCAGTGTAAATTAAATCTATGACGTAATTTTGAAATAGTGCTTCTGTTAATATTTAACAATTGCTGGTTTTACAACCTCACCAAGCTTCTTTGCTGGCTGCCTTATGCTTTTCTCGATTCATCATGTGAGTTCATCTACCAGATGAAAGATATTTGCGCCAAAGCTTTCTTTTCTTTTCCACTGCTTTTTCAACTTCTGGCATATTCCATAATTGTTTTTGTTGCTTGAGCAGTGTTTAAGTAGAAGATGTGCAGAGTGATTTTTTTGATTTTGATTTTGTCAACAAACTCTTTGATTTTGTCAACAAACGCCTGATAATTGTTGTTTACTGAACCTGAGTTGAAAATTGTCAGCCAGTCTTGGAATGTGATTAGCATTGAGATTGCTTCATAGTTTACCATGTTACAGATGAATCTTTTCTCTTCTTCTTTAACAAAAGTGCTGTTTGTAGCAAATGAGCCCATGAGAAAGCAATGGGGTTCTCCCACTAGTGTGTAGCAAAGCAAGTTACCTTCATGTAGATCATCTATACAGTCAGGTTCATTGGTGAATAATAAATTTAGTGTTTGATGGTCTTTCTTCGCCATTTCTCTATTTCTATTGATTTATTCTAAATAGATAATTCCAACGTCATTATCATATGGTCAGTATATACAACCTAATAAGATAAATATATTACCTACCATTCTCATTCGCCATACTTGTTTGATATCTGTTGAGTTGATTCACTTTTGTTTCATTCACTGGGATATCATCTTTTATGTAGATGGCTGCACCACCTCTACTTCCCTAGTTTTTGCTATGGAGTTGGTAGCCAGGAAGTCAAGTGTCTGATGATTGGTCAGGCCTCAGTGAAGAAAAGCAAATGTGGTCTATTTTCTACTATCTCATTATTAAATATTTTTCTGCTATATTATCTGCTATCACATGAGATGAAAACAATTTATTTATCTCATTGCGTTTTTAATTTAGATGAAACTGGTTTGCTGACAGATCTTACTGCCAAAAAAAGTTTTAGAAGTTTGTTTGAAAGACATCAAAAAGAGCCTATTACCTTGCTCCATCATGCGGTAAATCAATGTTTACTGTTCCTTTTTTGTGGATCAGCTAATGGTCACTTTTACATCCCTTTGTAGTGAACAAAACCCTTCTACTTTATGATGCATGGTGTAATAACAGACCAGAAAAAGCAATGAACAGTTTATCAAAATCTTATTGGATGGAGGACTTTTTTTTCGAATCTTTTAGAAAATTGGATTGACAAGTTTATTACATATATAAAGGATTTAGAAAATCCTGTTTTACTGCTTTGTTATGGACATAACATATTCTACTGTTAGTAAATTTTGTAAAATTATATGGATAACCATATAATTTTACAGTGTTTACCCCCAAACACAAGTCACGCATTACTAACTCTTGCTATTGGTTTTTTTGCTTCATTGAAATATCATTAGAAAAAGATTCTTAAAAACTGGTTAAGAGAAAGAAGACATAAAAATTTCCACATCATAAAATAAGCTCTATAATGAACACAATGCATAACTGACTACACAACTTTCTAAATAAATATCAATGCCTTTACTGTCTGTATTTCCAACTTTACTAAAATCTCTTGTAAGTAAGATAAGTGGCAAACTTCTAAAAAGTGAATTTAATGGTAAAAAGTGGTCTTTATCCTGTTGATAATTCAAAACCTATGATGAATATCCAACCAAAGCGCCATGAATTAGATAAGTCTAACAAAAAAGAAAATTATGTTGTAAAAAAACTACAGAGTCTGTACTTACACCTTCTCCAATACAGCACTTGAAAATGCAAATTTTATTTCTGATTTGCTAATTTTATTTCTGCACCATTTGAACTAATTGAAAATTTGAGTTCAAGTTTTATGATTATTTACTTTTATATACTTTTTGTATGTTTTTAATAGATATTTGCTTTTATATAGATTTTGCATGCTTTTAATAGATATTGATTTAAAAATACCACTGGTGATACGAGGTTTTAATTTTAGTTTTATTTGTTTAGCAGTTAGTTGTTTAAAGAGTGCATATTTATAAAGAATTTTGTTTGCATTAGGAATTCCTTAACATTGTCATTATTATTAACTTGTATTTGCTTTAAAATAAAAAAAAAGAGTTCCTTACCAAATTATTATCTTCTTGAAATGACTCGATGCATCCTGTTCTTTCAAAATTTATAGCTTCTAAATAAAAAACAATGATAATTATTTGCACCTATAAGCATTTAAAAAAAACAAAAACTAATTATATTATAACTAGTAAAATATAGGGTCGCCCCTGGAGCCCATTCTTAGCAATCATCCACATATATTAATTTCATTAATTTTGAGAAGTGGGAAAGTCAAAGAAATATATATATATATATATATATATATATATATATATATATATATATATATATATATATATATATATATATATATATATATATAAATATATATATATATATATATATATATATATATATATATATATATATATATATATATATATATATATATATATATATATATATATATATATATATAGCAAAATATTTTAATTAGAATTAAGATTAACTATATTAATACTAATATATAATTTATTATAATATAAATCATACTAATATATAATTTATTATATAACTGTAATTAAATAAATAATTATTTACTTTATTTTGTGAAACTTGATATTTTTAAAATTTTTTTAAAAAAGTTTCCAAGTTTATTATTTTATAAGTTATTTTAATATTAAAATGTTTTACTGGCTGATGTCGCTAAACTATTTGATTAACTACTTATAAGCCTGTAAAAATAATTTATTTTTATTACTATAATTAACCACTAATGTCTTATAATTAAACTTTAGCATACATTATTAACTACTATTTCTTTGTCTAAATTAGTAATCTAAACATGTTGTTAAATCTCAACAGCATTACTTATTATTCTTATCATTATCATTTTAATTATTGTTATCAAAATTATTATTAGTATATTATGTGTGTAACAGCATATACAGACATTTAAACACTAAGACATTATTTACATTTATTTTACGTAGAATTTAGCAGTTTGCCTCTGTTTTTACTATTTGAGCTCTGTAGCCCTAACGGCACACTGATGTGTAAATATTAAAGCAGTGTCTTGAAGAGTTTAGGTAACATTTTAAAATTGCATTCATTGAAAAAAATTTCTTTAGCCCTTTCTAGGGCTGCAAAAAATAGAGAGAATTTCTTGCTAACTTTTATATATATACATATAATATATGTGTGTGTGTGTGTATATATATATATATATATATATATATATATATATAAAAAACATGTATATACATGTGTGTATATTAACCCATCCCATCCCAAACAAAAATATAAATGCATTAAAAATTAATTTTAGCTAAAAAAATTATTTACGATCACCGAAAATCAGATAGAATAAACATTCATGGATAAATGTTCCAAATTTCAACCATGAACCATGTAGCTATGTTATCAAATCTTGGTTGGCCTGAGACAGGTTTTTCGTAAAAATCGTTAAAAACACAAAAGTGATCCCAAATCATTTCAAATATTTTAACAATGTTTATTTTTATTTCGTCTAATGTAAATATTTATTAAACGAAGAAAGATAGTTCTTTTATATTTTTTAAATTTTGAAGATGAAAGCATTTATAGAAAAAAAATTATATTATTTTAAAGTTAGTGAATTTTTATACTTTTTATGCGGAAATATATTTAAAAAAAAAAAACACAAAAATTCTTGTGACGTCAGACTCGCTTTTATATTGAGTGAAACAGCCATGACCAGAATGTTTGATACATTGTTCGATTGAATAAGTATCATACCTGTGCAGGACACAAAGAACACATAGCATAATAAAACTTCCATCTAAATTATTTTAACAGAATTATGAATACCTTTTTAACTAAATATTTTCTAGAGGACAAACTTCACATTTATAACATCTTGGTGGATTACAAAAACATGCAGAGTATCACACCAAGGACAACACCAAGAACAGGTGCCAAGGACAAAAAGTAAGCACAACAACAATATATAAAGAATTTAAATAATTTCCAAGATTTATGGTACATTTATGAAAATTAGTGTATAGAATAAATGCTCTAAAATAACACACCACTGACACATGACATAACATGCAACATGCCTTTTTGCATTTGTACTTTTATCTAGATGATAAAATTTATTTCCATAATACTAACAAAATGTAGTATTATAATAGTTTGACTTCCTGGTCGATTAATAAACAAAATCATCAAGTACACATATTTTGTAAATACCTAGACATGAATAATCTGTGCATATGGTAGCACAGCAAGAACATACAACAACTTAAAAAGAATGCGTAATATTGGTTTTACACCAAGATTATAAATAAAAATAATAATTCTTCAATATTTCTATATTAAATTTTTTTTAATAAACTGAGCAATTTAAAAATATATAATTATAAAGGGCTTGAGTTTTTAAAAATCATCAATGAAAAATGTTTAAAACACGTGAACATACTACTATAAAAAAGGTGCTATTTTAAAAATGCAGCTTTTATAGATTTTTTTAAAATAAAGTAAATATATTTAGGACACATACTATCAAAAACTCAATTAGTTTGATATAAATAATATAATATTATTTAGAAAATTACAAAAGAAGGTCTAAACATTCTGTTGAAAGTTCAAGTTTCTTTTTTGATTCAGAACTTCGACTCATAGAAGTGATAAAGGGGTCTGATGAGCAGAGCAATCTTCTCATTACATCTTCATTTGTAAGTTTTCTAGAAAATTTTCTTGTAAAATGTTCTTGAAAATTTTCAACATCTTTATTTCTACTTTCCTAGGCTTCTTCAGATAAGGGGCCAATTGGAACTGGTTTGTCTCTTACAACCTGGTGTGAATGTACAATCATCTTGTGAACTCCAACAGGCATAGGATATTACTTAAAATGTGCTACATATGTCTTAAATGTTTCTTTGCAATATAATTCTAGTTTATCTGGATCAATTGGGTGTTTACAGGATAACACACAAAGGATAATGAAAAATCTTTTCACAAAACCCTTATCAATTACAAGTATTTCAGCAAAAGTTTCATGGCTTCTAAATGCCCTTCTTGCTGTGTTTCCATCATTAGATGTACCAGAGCCACCACTTTTTGGTACATCAACAACGTTCAAGTGTATTTTTGATTTTTTCCTGAATTTCTTTTTTCTACTTGCAACTATATTTTTCTTTTCAGGAGTGTTTGCATGAAAAAATCCACAATCATTGTACCCTGGTCTTCTTCTCTCTCCAATATGTAACAGACATTCAAAACAACGAATCCAGAGATGGAGAGTGTGGATTCCCAGGTCCAAAGACATCTGATTAGGTTGTTTATTATAAGCAATTACAAAGTCATTCATTCTTTTAGGATTTAATCCACATAAATTGCAAACTTGATAAGAACCAGTTAATGGAGAAAGAAGAGTGGAAACTTTTCCGCCAATCATAGTACATTCTAACTTGTGCTTGACTTGAAATAAGTCTTTGTTGTTCTGAGTTCAGTTAACATAAAAAATCATATTTTGCTTTAACAATTTGCTGATTTTCTTTAATGTATTGCATTCAAACAGGGCGACAATATTGGGTTGAGGATGTTTTGTGGTTAGCCCAAAGAATAACATTAGTTTCCTGAACTTTAAGCTGCACAGGTACTGTATATGAAAGAAACAAAAATTCTTCAACTGAGACTGACAATCTGTCCCCTTCATCTTCAGTTCTCTGTTTATAAACAGACTGTCCAGTTGAACCATCGAATCCGACTTTGATTATAAGAAGAAGAGTATTGCAAGGCTCAGGTAGTTTTGATTTATCAATAACTTTCCAAATCCTGTTTGTAGTGTGATCCATTATTCCTTGAAGATTTACAAAAGCACTGTAGTTTGTGGTAACAATTCTGGAATCTGGAATACAATCACTTCTAGATTTCACAATAACGTTGTAGGCAGGGTATAACATGCAAACTTTATTTAAGGCCCTTTGATGGATAGTTTGATAGTCAGCCCTACTCATTCTACAGTCTAACATTAAAGCTAAAGCTTCTTCAGCTGAGTAGACTTTAGAGCATAATACATTGCAGGATCCATCAACTTTACTTTCCATCATATGTTTTAAAACTTTGGCGTCTTTATTTTGTCCTTCTTTATTTAGATTAAAAATAAGGGCATGAAATAGGCATTCAGTAGTAACTCCTAACTTTTCAGTAACCTCTGAAGATCTTCTTTTCTTAGACCTTGCTGAGAGATCTTCAAATAATTTTAATGGTGCACATCATTGTAAATGGTTTATCCTAACTTGCTAGTGATGTTCATTTACAGTAAATTCCATATTTAACAATTTCTTGTAACTAATTATAAATCTCCCTTTTGTCTACCTAAGGCTTGGTCGGGAAGCGGGTGGGATCACACTCGATAACTGACCATGGAAATAATATTTAGTTGCGAAAAACCGGCCAGATTTTTTAGTTGTTTTGAGAACATTTAAGTTTACGTAAGTAAGTTCATTATTTTATTGTAAATTTCAAAATATTTTCTTTTATGGACATACATGGAAACATACATAAACTTGAATGTTCTCAAACGCCTTTGTGCGGAAAAATAAAAAAAAAATATTCGCGAACACAAAAAACCCACCAAATCTACAAACAACTAATTCTATTGGTTCAAAAAATACTAACTAAAATTTCTATAGTATTCAAATCTTTTATAATCATTTTCTTGTTATAGGATATTTATGTTTAATGAGTTTGATTAATAAGGCAGCGTATAAACTTTGGTTTTAAATATATTTTGATGTTATTATTTATATTTACAATATTTCTAAAAAATACTAACCAAATGTTCTAGAATATTCTGTTGAAATATTTTTAAAAAATTGTATTATTTGAGTTTTGTTATGTTTTGGTTGAGATTTCAAGCATAAATTGTTTTAAGAAGATGTTATAAACGAACTATTATTTTAATTCTCGGAGCCACATCTACAAAGCTATAAATGTTTTAAACTAATATTATTTGTTTACAAAAATAAACATTTTAAATTTATATTTTTTAACTTGTCAACATTTTGTATATATATTATAAATTTTATTAGTATATATATATTTTTTTAATTTAAGGGATGTATTTTTCAAGTATGTAATGTATTT